GGAAGCCCTCGAAGAAATCCTTCTCCATGAAATAGGACGGTAGGCTGAAGGCTCGGGAAGTTGCTCCTTCCTCAGTCACATCAGCGAGCCCACCTTCTGGGCGACTCCTTTTCTTGCTCAACACAGCAACATGCTGCTCAGCATCGCGGGTGCCCGACAACCCACTTGATCCCTCCTTGACCGGTTCAGAAACTGAACCCATACATGTAGCCTGGTGCGGCTTCACCAACCTCTTATGGCTCTTTTTATCTTGGGTCAGTTTCAACAATCTCTCACGGTGCTCCGCCGTGTTACCTGCAAAAACAATAACATTATCCTCGGATCAACCTCGTTGGGAAAATAAAAGAAGTCAAGAAGTAAAAATATAGTAAAATCAAGCGAGCAGAAACCTAAGAGATTCACGGCTTGCCCGTAAGAACGACACTCAACGACTGCCTTGGTGTTGATCGGGCGTGATTCGAACGTCGAATTACCATCTTCATCGAGTATGTCATGTACTTCCCTTGTGACCCACCTGGCGGGGAAGAACCCGTCGACGAACCGATTAAGGACGCCATAGGCCTCTTCATCCTTAGTGCTCATGCCGTCGGTGTGAGTATCGTAATGCCCAGGACCATGATCGTAGTGGCCCAAACACTAATGGATGGGAAAATTCGAGAGTCGCCTAATCTCCGGCTTTCCCTCTACATTATAACACGGTTCACCATCTTCATCCATAACAGAATCCGGGTCAAACACGACGTCCACGGCTGCCTGAGAAGAAGGTTGCATGACATACCATCTGTCTTTGAAGTCACAGACAGAGTCCGTGTACATCCTGAACAACCTCTTCAACTATTTGAGGGAGGCCCAACTGTGTTTCCCACCCCGAGACTTCCGTTATAGATGAAAAACCCTAAAGAACAGGGGAATGGTCGCCCTGATCCTCAGGAACCAGCAAGTAATCTCAAATGCCCGGATGAAGGCAATGACGTTGAGGTGAAGCTGAGAGGGTGCTAGGTTCAAATGATTGAACACCCCATCTGGAAATCGTTGAAGGGAAGGCGAAGCCCCAAGTCTTTGAAAATGACCCCGTACATGGGGAAGCGGTCTTCCTAGAACTCTGAGCATATTCGAGCGGTGGGCGTCACTCGCAAGATCTCGAAGTTCCTTTGGAAACCTTCCTAATCGCCGCCATACTCGACGACCATATAAGCCTACCTCTTACTATAATTGTATATCGAGGCTATTCCTCGAGGCTCTTCCCCAACCCAAGCCAATGCAGGATCATCGATCGTGTCAACCAAGTTGACACCCTCCTCAGCTACGCTGGTCTCTTCAGCGTACATGTGCTCGGATGATTCGGGAGTGTCGACCATTTTACCTATAAAGTAGAGGAAACTGGTGAATTCGATAGAAAATCCAAATCCATCCCTCCATGACGCAGGTGAAAAGGTTATGTGGCGCCCATACCAAGTTGACAGTCACTCGTGAAGAAAGGGGAAATACACGGCCCTCGGTCAGGGCATGAAAATCATGAAAGTCTTATAAGACCACATAACGGTTATAATGACGAATGCTTGTTTTCATGAACACCCCGGGAACATGATGAATACAGTGAGCAAAGTATGAATTTGCCGGCCAAAATCATGAATTCTCCGGGGATTGCATAAATTTCTTGTGCAAAATTCATGAATTTTACGGGGACGTATGGAGACCACGGGGTAAATTCATCTAAGTGTTGGTGAAAAGATGAATATAACGGGCTTAATCATGAATAGTACGCATGAATACCCCGTGCAAAACCCCCCAGTTGCAAAATTCTACAACTAAAACATCATCCAAACAAAGAGATCACGAAAAATACTTACTTGGACAAGAGTAGATGAAGAATAACGAGGGTAGACGAAGAACACGTGGAGGATTCTGTGGCGGTGTTAGCGGTTGAAGAAAACGGCACGGTGTTGGCAATAAGGAGAGTGAAGAGTGCAAGAATGTAAATGTGAATAATGGGCCTTGGGGCGCTATATATAGAGCTGACGTGGAATGTGAAACGTCGCATCGGGCAGCTCACCAACCACCCTTCTCCTCGACATCTACGCGCTCAGTTAATGATGGCCCATATTCCCTAGGCCATCATTACCATCCTAAAGGTCACACCACATGTCTACACCCTGCAGGCTTTTCTCTCCCCGTGAGTCGAGGAATAAATAGAATGATTCCATCTCGATTTCATTCTGAGTGTTGCCTGAGTAAACCCACGTACCGACGACCTTCTCCGTCAACACAATGAAAGATCCTTGTCGAGTGACGCACCTCGTAAAAGAAAAAGTTGGACTTAAGTCATAACTCCTTCATCAGGAGCAACGACTTGGGGGGCTCTTATTCTAGACTGGGCCTGCCCTTGGCCCAACTCCATGTGAGGCCTAACCCAATTATTCCACTCTCCGCGAGGAGGCAACCTCACCACACGGGGATAAACCCAATTAGTCTTAGGAAGATCATCGTCGATCAGGAGGACCTCGAGGTCACCCTCCAATCCTCTCCTCGACCAAGATTGATCCTTCCACGTGACCTCGCGTCTGGCGGGGAGCATCCACGACGAGCATAAGCACCCCACGAGCATCCTCCTTGTAGGGCTGCCTATCAACATCTCCAAATATCACAGAGTCTTCGCGGCCCCGGAAAGACTGCATCTATATCCTCTTGATCGTGCGGAGGAAGTCATCCAGGTGGGGGACTATGTACTGGTCCCCACTACTCATGTAGAACCTGACAGTCTCTATTTTGGGTCTGCTTGACCAGCCCGATGAGGAGACCTTGGTCCATCGTTGGGGTTATAAGTACCCTCTCTCTTGAGAAGGTCAGATATTGAACATTTCTCACTCTCTTACTTGCTTGCACCATTTTGTATCTCATTTTGGCATCGGCGTGTCTTGCAGGTATCCCCCTACCTCACTCTCAAGTTTTGCTCGACGTAAGCTGTGACGGTCCATTCTTGTCAGGTACGATCAATTTCTAACCTCCCACATTCTTGAGAATAAAACTTGAATCCAAGAAACAAACACACCTTAATAATCAAAGTTTAGTTGCCCAGGTTCGAATAGAGGTGGCAAACGAACATGTTCATCCCATTTAAATTTGTTTTGTAAAAAAAAAAATAGAATGTGAAGAGACGAACAGAGTTGAGTGTATGAGTCCTAAATCTTATTATGTTCTGCACTAAATGTGACCGTAAGGTGGTGTGGGCCCGTGAACACGACATCTTTTAAACAAAAATACTTCTTTCGGTCACTATTATAAGCAAAAAAAAATAACCTTAAATCTTGGTCACTATTATAAATAAAAATCATTAACTTTCAAACTAATTAATGCTTGTGTTAGTAGTATACCTTTGATTTGATTTAAAACCATTTGAAATTGGAAGTTGATTAATCAAATATAACTAGGAATATTATAGTAAATTTTACTTTGATTGTACATGAATCAAGAAAGTTAATTACACTTAACTAATTTTCTTAATCAATGTAAAAATAGTTATTTTGATTTATAATAGTGACCACAAAGAGTACTAAACTAATGTTAATTCTCATGCTCGCAAAGAAAACAGAGCAAGGAGAAGCAGACACATTAAATGATGTGAGTCTAAATCTTTAACCCGTCCGCACTAAAGTGCGAGCAAAATGAATAATAATAATAATAATAATAGTAATAATAATAATAATAATAACAATAATAACATAATAACAAACACAATATAGATGTTTAAAATCTATATTCTCATTTATTATCTTTCTCTTTACTCCATCCATAACGGGTATATAAACAAAACACACACACTTTTCTTGTTATAATTTATAAGCAAAAAAATATCAATTTAATTTCATTTAAGTATCTTTTTCTCAAAATACATTATTTCCAATGTAAAATTAAATCTAAATTGCATTAAATATATATTTTTTCTCATTTTTTCTATAAACAACAACAAATCGAAATTGTTTTTAGAACTTTACTATAAAATATATTTCAAAAAAGGCACAAACATTTAAATTTTTTTAATCACGGTGGAAATTTGACTTTTACTTATAATTCGTTACGGATGAAGTATCAATTTTGTTAGGCTTAAATGCACTTTTGATATCCTATTTTCATGTTTTTTAAATTTTAGTCTACCCATTTTAAAAACCAACTTTTTTTATCTATAAACTTTATCTCACTTTGCATTTTCACGATCCCCTCCAGTTTTACATGTGTGGTATTGCTGATTGGGAGAAAAAAAATATTTTAATTATTTAAAATTAATGACTAGACTTATTTAATAATTAATATTTTTATAGCTAAATTAATACTTAATTATTTTAATTAAGTTTTTTTGAAGTTAATTATTATTTAAGTTTTTTATGCAGGAAATCGTTGATGAATCCGCTGACAATGAAATTCGACCGGAATCACAGCATAATCCAGGTCACCAATCTGATTACAACGAGGTAATGCTCATTTTGTTGTTGTTGTTTTTAGTTAACGCAGAGTGTACATAACACTTACTAAATTTGATGATGTTGTTGTTAATTTGCTTTTTGGTGAACACTTATGATGGTGAACACACTGCTGAGGCTTAAGATTTCACCAAAGTTTTCATTGGCAAGGTGCCCCTTGCTCCTATTAATTATAGTCTTCTACATGATAAAATGTGGTGTTTGGAAGAGTTAATAGCCAATTTTATTATTTAAAATATTATAAAGAAAAAAATATAACCATTATTTAAAAAATAACAATAATGATAAGTTATCTTTATAAAAAATTAAAAAATGAGTATTAAAAAAAGAATGAAGGGAGTAGTACAGTATGAGTCTAGAATTTCGTGTTACATTTATAATATTAATAATGGAGGGAGTAGTACAATAAATAAATAATAATAATGTGATTTTGTCGAGGCTGTTTGTTTTGGTAGTATTGATAGTTGTTTGTGGTTACTGTCTCAACTCAGAAGAAACACAAACTCGAGGTAACAGTAAGTAACAATGGACACAAAACAAGGGTTGTTCTCCACACTGAAAAACGACTTAATGAAATCCATGTTACCGGCGAGCAGTGGTTCTCCGATTTCAACTTTACTCCGGCGAAGGAAGAAAGACCATGTTCCTCCACTGGACTTGCTCTTTGTAGAAAGATACCCCTCTAGGCCACCGGTGGAAGCAATGTCGCCGTTGAAAGAGGGTCCTGAGGAAACAGAATGCAGCTTCTCCGGTTCTTCCTCTTCCGATCTCAGGCTGCTGCTTGGTGTTCTTGGTGCTCCTCTGGCTCCTCTCCGTGTCAGCATCACTGACCCCTTTCCTCATCTAGCTATCAAAGACATTCCCGTTGTTAGTTTCTCACTTTCCCCTTTTTTTTCTTCATTTTGTACTAGATTTTCTTTACCCTCTTATTGGGTGTTGCTACAGGAAACATCTTCTGCTCAGTACATATTGCAGCAGTACATTGCTGCTTCTGGGGGATTGAAGCTTCAAGATTCTGTTTACAATGCTTATGCAATGGGAAAGGTGAGGATGATTGCTTCCGAATTTGAAACGGCTAACAAGCTTTTGCGTACACGGAACCCCTCTAAAGCTGCACAGTCCGGCGGGTTTGTCTTGTGGCAGATGAAGCCAGACATGTGGTATGTGGAGCTTTCTCTTGGTGGAAGCAAGGTCCATGCAGGTTGCAATGGGAGACTCGTGTGGCGGCACACACCGTGGCTTGGTCCTCATTCAGCCAAAGGGCCACCTAGGCCTCTAAGGCGCGCTCTACAGGTTTCATTTATCACATTTCTTTATTCTGTGTGAAAGTGTCTATTATGACACTTATTTTGGGACGGAGATAGTATTTGTTGTCTTTTCACTCTATAACTTAGACTGGTTTCTGCTTGCAGGGTCTTGATCCGAGAACAACGGCAAGCATGTTTATCAATTCGAGATGTGTTGGAGAGAAGAAGATAAATGGAGAGGACTGTTTCATTCTCAAAATATGTTCCGATCCATCCACATTAAAATCGCGAAGCGAAGGTTCAGCAGAGATCATAAGACATGTTTTGCTAGGACATTTCAGTCAGAAGACAGGACTTCTTATTCACTTGGAAGATTCTCATTTGACTCGTATTCAGAACAACGGAGGCGATGCTGTATATTGGGAGACAACTATCAATTCATTTCTTGATGATTATAGGCCTGTTGAAGGAATAATGATTGCTCACTCGGGTCGTTCTCATGTGACGCTTTTCAAGTTTGGAGAAACAGCAATGAGCCACACAAAAACTAGAATGGAAGAAGCATGGATAATTGAAGAAGTGGCTTTCAATGTCCCTGGCCTTTCTATGGACTGTTTCATTCCTCCAGCTGAGCTAAGATTTGCTTCTGTGACTGAAACTTGTGAGGAGTGATGTTGCAGCAGTAAATGTGTAGCAATGTGGAAATTTCTGCATTGGCCTCAGAAAACTTGTTGGAGGGACAACCAGCATCATATCCCAAAAAGTGAGTTAAAACATTCCCTTTGGTGGTTTTGCACAGCAAGGTTTAGTTTCAACACTTGTTTTCAGTTTCGAATTAGCTGATAATTACTGTACGGTATCATTATTAGTTTTTCTGTGAAAGTAATCAACTTGAAGATCAAATATCACTTGAATTAATATCATTGAAGAAGTTATTGATGATGTTATTGAAGAAGTTGTTGTGACTTGTTGTACCATCCTTGAATCTCTTATTCTTAGTGTGTGTTTAAATTGACGGTGGATAGAATTGAGTTTCATAAAATTGATTTTGACAGAATTGAGTTTAGCATAATTAATTTATGTTTGAATATATTTATGTAAAAATGAATTGAACAACAGATTTCTGTGTAAAAATCATGTTTAAACTCTGAAGCTACAAATTCTAACTTCAAATAGAATCAATTTTAGAGACAAAATCAATTCTACTTTAAAATATTCAAATACCTCAATATTTTAAAATCAATTTTAAATCTCTAAAGTTGCTTTTGTCTCTTAAAAGCTAAATCAAACTTGCTAATAATCTTTCTGAGTCTATTCAACATTGTTGTGAATTTTTTTGGTCCCGCGCAAAGAGATAAAGAAAGCTAAATCAAACATCTTATTAATCTTTCTAAGCCTATTCAACATTGTTGTGAAATTTTTTTGTTCTGCGAGAGATAAAGAAAGCTAAATCAAACCTGCTATTAATCTTTCTGAGCCTATTCAACATTATTGTGAATTTTTTTTGTACCGAGAGAGATAAAGAAAGCTAAATCAAACCTGCTATTAATCTTTCTGTGCCTATTCAACATTGTTGTGAAATTTTTTTGTCCCGCAAGAGATAGAGATTTAGTACCATCATTTGTTTGTGGGGTTGTAACTTGCAACAAACCTTTGTTTTCACCCGATGGTGACAATTTTATTTAGGGGTGTTCGCGGTGTAGTTTGAGCGATTTTGAAATAAAAAATTACTCGAACTGTAAGAGAAAAAAATATACGGTTTGGTTCGATTCATTTTTACAAATAAATTTGAATCAAATCAAATCAAACTAATATGATTTAGATTGATTCGATTTTTTACAAAAAAAATTATTAAGTCATAAATGCACATATAGAGAAAAATATAATTTAGTGTTTAATTGTTTATATATTGCCATAAAATTTTTTTATAGTTATCAAAATAAATTTATAATTTGATACATAAAATTACGTATTATAATTTTATCTAAATCTAAAGAATGATATAGACAAGATTGTATTCTTAAATAAATATTATACAAAAATTACCATAAAATATATTTTGTGAAAATAGTATTTATAAATGAATAATATTTTATTTTTTTATGATTTGTAAATTAAAATAAATATCATACAAAGTACGATAAAATATACACATAATACATGTTGATTTCTCTAAAAAATTAAAAAAATATATATTGGTTAGTAAGATTTTATAACATAATACAGTTATATTTGGTTTGATTCGGTTTGTAAAATATAAACCGCAAACAGAATCGAATCGTGTAGTTCCGTTAAAAAATGACTCAAACACATCTGAATCAAATGCGGTTTTTTACGATTTCAATTTGTTTTGATTTGGTTTTACGGTTTTCCATTGGATCAATTTTGTTTTGAACACTCTTAATTTTATCTATAGATTTACTAGTTTATATCATTGATCTATATAATTTATCTATAAATATTTTTTTAATGACTAGAATCTATTTAAAAGTATAAATGAATTTAATGCATACGTTGAGATTAAAGTGTGAGTGATTAAATTTAACTTTGATTAAGAATGAAAAAAATGGTGGATATACAAGAGAATAAACTAATATTTCAATTATCTTAAGATTTTGAATGAATATGTACTGTCAAGATCTTTTATGAGTCAGACTCATTTTGACAACTCTACCAACAACATCTAATTTATATTAAAAATTTAATAAATTATCTTGTTAACCCAACTCAATTAATAATTATGTAGAGACATTCAATTGTAAGGTTGTGAGTTTGAATTCACGACATCTCATTTATTTATTTTTAAAGAGTGAAGTTCTAATCGGTAAACTATCTCCACCCTCTGACTAGTGGCGACGAAATATGAGGAGGAAAAGGTGTCACACCACCCGTGAATAAGAATCAGTTTGTTCCTAGAATAAGAAAAATAAATTAGAAATTAATTTATTCTCATTAAATGTAATTATTTAATATAATTATTTGTATAGTCTTATAGTCTCTATATATACAAGAAATGACAATGAGAAAAATATCAAACCAGAATTTATTGACATGGTATCAACTTCATTAATCAAACCTGTGATTTTTCTGTTCTGATAGTGTTTATTTTATTTTCTCTGTCGGCAATAACATCCTGGTCGCTCGAGTTTTGTTGTTTATCGTTTTTAAGTCTTGTTCAACTGTGGAATTTGTTTCGTGCAAATTTATACCGTTGCTGCCGTAATTATCTTTTAGATTTAGGATTGTGTTTTCCTTTGCAATCCTTTCGCTAATTGTGATTTTAGATCATGTCTGCGTTTGTTTTTGCAGTTACAATTTTGATTCTTGATTTCTTGGTTCTTCTGCTAGTGTTTCTTGATTGTTCTGCCGTTCATGTTTCTTAGTGCTGGACTTTCTTATGTTACTGTTTGGTGGATTTGTTGTATCTAATTAATTGATCAAGACTTGCGTGTTGGATTTTGTTCTTTGCTGTACGTGGTTTACTGTTTTCAATTGGTTGGTCAAAGCCTGCGTATTTCTAATTGGTTGGTACACTAGTATTGTTTCATTACTTTGG